TGCATTAGTATCTTGAGGGTCACTGATTTGTTCATGCATGTGGTCTAGACTGCTTCCATAGCTAAAACCTCCCTACTATAGCTTGGCATGTAGGCTTCTAAGCTACATTCTAATACCTCAAGCTACTGAGCAAGATGCTCCTGGACTAGCATCAGAGGCCATGGGTAAACCTGCTTCTCCCCACTTCACAGTCTTTGTGCCAGCTGCTTGTGTGTATAGCCAGAGACTGCAAGTCTCGCCATTGAGCCCAACATGTGAAACAAAGGAATCTGAGATTTTCTGTGCCCAATTTGGGGGGGTCAAGAGAGGTGCTTGCCTAAATCTAACATGATCTCTATCATTTCTCTAATTCTATTGGAGAGTTTAGGCCTCCTTAGATCTCTTTGGTACATCTAATCTTATTTAGCAAGGGGTTCTTGGACAAGTTTTAGAGGTGTCCCTCTCCCTTGTGTGACCTTTTATCCAGCTACCAGCTTGTACAGCCAAAGAGCACATCTTACTGAACAAAGGGCATCCTGGGTGCATGCATCCTGGGTGCATGTGGCCAGTGTGGGAATATAGGTGAGATACCCACCTTTCCCAGCATGCTTTCTCAGACTTGTCCTGATGGTCCCAACGTGCTACTGCCAGAGAGTGCAAATCTCCTAGGGGGAAGATCTAAAACACCAAATGGGCATACAAAAAACACAACACTTGGCAACTAGTGACCTCAAATGAATATGATACCATAAGGAGGCAACCTTCCAGAGTCCAACCACAATGATATAGAAGATCTTATCTTCCTATCAGATAGAGAGTTCAAAATTGCCATGAAAAAAGAAAAATAAAAGAAATAAAAGAAAATGCAGAAAAGCAAATCAGTATATGGTCATAGATAATATGGATACCTTGGAGAAGAGAGTCAATGGTCCATTCTTGTACATTTGCTCCTTTTAAAAATCTTTCTATACAGGTAAATTTAAGCATATTTAAAACCACTAATTTTAAGTGAGCAATTAAATGAATTTTGACAAATGTGATCAGTTGTGGGGCCATCAATCATAGTAAGAACATCTCTCTCAACCCCCAAATTTCCCTTATCCCTCTTTGTTCCCTTGTGCCTGTCCCTTACTTCCAGGTTCTGGCTGAATGTTGTCTGGCTTCTTTAAGCGTAGTGCTTTTGATTGTTGTATGTAACAGTACCTTGTTCTTTTATATTGCTACTATTTCTAATGTTCCACTATAAGCTTATAACCCAATTTATCCATTTAGCAGTTAATGGACATTTAGGCTGTTTCCAGTTTTTAGCTATTATGAATAAATATTTATGCTTCGTTTTATTAACAACCAAGAAATTATGGCCATTTTTTTAATTCCAATTTGTAAAATATGGTAAGTTTGGTTATAGAGATGACCAATGGTTTGAGTCAGAAGTGAAAGAAAACCAGTTAGGGAAGACTCAGTTATCTGAGCTTTATGAAACTGTCATCAGCTAAATTGGCCTCTCATTTTTCAATGCTTTGATTGTTTTTTCTCTTGTACCTTTTTTTTTTGGCGGTATTCTTTGCCTCTTCTATTTTGGCTACTTTGAATTCTTTTTTTTTTTTTTTAATTCCATAGTTATCTTTATTTGATTCAGTGTCTTACAGAATATGTTTCACTTAACAGAGTTATGACAAATGTTAAGTGAATTGATAGGTGTTCTCTAATTCCTTTTTCAGATATCTAGGTGTTTTTTAAATCATTTTAATCCATTTTTGCAATGTTTTCTAGGGTGTTATATTTCCCTAAATCAAAATATTTCAGATCCAATCTCTGCCTTTATATCACTTAAGTGTAACCTTTGTGCAGATTTTTAATTCTTTATAACCCTCATTATTTTCAACTATAATGTGAAAACATTTGGTTAAAGAAATATGAGATTCCCCTTTAGCTCTATCATTGTTAGGTTTTATAAAAAGCTACCAAGTCAGGGCCTCCTTGTGGCGCAGTGGTTGAGCGCTGGGCTGCAAAGCTGCCTGCAGCCTCTGCAGCACTGGTTTTATCCCCAGCCCGGTGGCGAAGGTCCCACATGGCACACAGATCTCTCCTGCCGCCCGCTGCTCCCCTCAGCAGTGTACTTCATCAGTCTGCCTGTTCTGTTCCCAGCTCTGTCTCTGGTGAATTCTCTCACCCTCCCGCACTTCTAACTGTACCCAGTGCTTGTATAAATAAATAAATAATTCTTAAAAAAAAAACTTAAAAAACAAAAACTGCCAAGTCAGAAAGAAGCTGCACATCAGAGGAATGGGGAAGAGGTAGGAAAGCAAGAATATGTTTTTATGCAAAGCAAAAATAATGTGCAGTTTCTTCAGTAGAGTGAATGTTGAGGTAGGATTTAAGAAACAAAAGTGATGTGTAACTCAACATTTGTTGGTAGAGCATTGTTTTAAATTGTTTTATTTTTAAGGAGTAATGTAATAAGGCAGTAGTTCTTTTTTGTAAATAGAGAACAGCAGTAATTAGGCAGCATCTCATCCTAAAATGTATGGTGAGACTGGAAATTCCTTTATTTACAGAAACTGTAAGTCTCAGTTTACAAAATGTAGTACAATTATGACTGTTTTCTCAGAATAATTATTAATAGTGCTTTTTTTCACTCTCAAGTGGATATTCGTTTTGAAAAATGTATTTTATTTTATGGTCACTTGATTATTTGGAATCTCAGGAGTCCAGGTTTTTCTGCCTATATTCTTTGTACTTGGGGATGGGTACTGGTGAATGAATCCACAGTGCTCTTTATAGGCTGACATTTTAGGCAACATTGTCTCTACCGGCAAAACCATTAGAGCCTCTTCTAGGCACTCTTCTTTTTTAAACTTAAGTAGATTTTCCAGCTTCATTTATTTTTTAAAAATATTTATTTATTTATTTAAATACTTAGTTTTAAAATATTTATTTATTTATTTATTTATTTATTTATTTATTTATTTATTTATTTATTTATAAAAGAACTGGGGTACAGGCCAGAGGCACAGGAGGGTGAGAGAATTCACCAGAGACAGAGTGGGGAGCAGAACAAGCATACGGACCAAAGACACTGCTGAGGGGAGCAGCGGGCAAGGCATAGAGGTCTGCCGCACCATGTGGGAATCTCCCTGGCCAGCCAGGAATTGAACCCACAGTGCAGAGGCTGCGGACAGCTTCACAGAGTGGCGCTCAACCTGCTGCGCCACCAGGGAGGCCCTCCAGCTTCATTGCTTCATTTAAAGACTGCAGTGTTCTTTATCCCTATGGCAGGGGTATAAGAATATTTATCCATCCAACACTCACTGCCATCTTCTGTGTGCCAAGTACTGAGCTGGAATCAGAGCACAAAGAGACAAAGATGACAAAAGAAGACAAACATATAGCTAAAGTGGGAGGAGTGGTAGTCTAGTACTATGTATACATACACAAATGCAGTGAAGTCACTGAGGAAATAATAGTTAATTTAGGAAAGAGAGGAAAAAGAGGGGGGAAATTTTGAACAGAAAGGAGTAGTATGTATTAAGCAAGGGGCAGAGGTTGGTGAGGATTGAAAGATAGTCCAGGAAAACAAAAAGACATGTCCAAAGAGCCATGGCCAGAAAATACATGGTATTGAGTGTGGGGGAGATGGGACAAAATGTGACCCAATCTGATTATCCATTTGTTGCAAATACCAGGTTGGAACTGAGTGTGAAGCAAGATTTTGGAACAAATCCAAGGAGGTATTGTTATTAGAAATACCAGAAGGGACCTTATTTCACATTTAGTGTGGACCCCTGATGATTCCTTGAGTGCAGTGTGGGTATATTTTCATTCTGTAATTTTATACTACAACATTAATGCATGCATTGACCAATTTCAATACAGACTTTCCTTATGTTACTTTATAATTAGAAGCCAGTGAATTGAAGTTCCACAGCGGTACATAGACTAGTGGTGATAGCTTTATGAAATTGTTTATTTTTAGTTTGGCAAAGGCAAGGCAGTAAATATCTCAATTAGTAAACTAAAGCAGCATGGATGAGAAATGCCCACAAGGAGACCGGGAGTTAGAAATAACTAAGTCAATTAGTTGAAGGAAGCCCTCATATCACCCATATTTAGTGTATGAAGAACCAACCTAATGTGTGTGAGCACACAGTGTCAGTATCTACAGTGCTGCCTGTGAGGAGGTATTTTTCAGGTTCTAATTGCTTAAGAAAAACAATTTGAAAAATGTAAAGCAAAATCAATTTAAATGTATTTATCTCTTTAAGAACCACTGTGATTGGCTGTTGTTGGATGATCCATTCATTGGGTAAATACACAATCATAGTGGCATGGGATATTGTAAACTATGGAAGCTTCTCATCCTGCGATTTCTTTTTGTGTGACCCAAAGGGGATTTTTTTTCTCTTTATGAAGATCTGGGAAAGTTATTCATATCTGTCTATATTTATATTCACATTACATGGCCTAATGTGTGAAAATATTTAATGAAAACATGCCTGTAGTACAGAATCACTTACAGACTCAAGATAGACTTGCCTATATTGTATTTTAGACTATTTGAAGTTTAAAAGGAAAAACAGACGTGGTCTACAAAGCTTAGTTTGAAGAATTTAATACTTAGTATATTCTTCCTATAACTCCAGGATCTTTAGGAAATGTTAACCATTCAGAAGACAAAGATTATTTGGTAGTTTAAAACATTAAGAGTAGTATTACAGAAAAACATATATGTGTTTTACGATGAAATATAAAGTACCATTATTCAGTTTTGTCATGATTTTTTGATTTCCAAAGTTGTATAGTGTAGTCTATTTGGAATGATGGCGTGTATTGTAACATTGTAATGAAGGCAAATCTTTGGGTTCTCCCCTTAAAGGGAAGAATGGGGGCTGTGGAAAGATTGTTGCCCTCTTAGGCTTAACAATATCTATATATTAGACTCTCTGTGATCTATAGGTGAAATGATAGGGGCTCATGCATCTATAGATTAAATATCTGTCTGTCTCCTCTTTGCTTTGTAGACTGGAAAAAGATAACATTCAGCAGAGCTTTAACAACAAAGCAAAGGCCCAAGCTCTTCAGGCCCAGCAAAGAGAGCAGGAGCTGACACAGAAGATACAGCAAATGGAGGCCCAGCATGACAAAATTGGTAGGTGGTAGGGAAAGATTAGAGCCTGGGCACTTGCTCACAAGCCAGGCCCACGCCTTACTGTGAAATGACATCAGGAACACCTGTAACCTTTGGCTGGCCGAAGGGAGCAGATGCTAACTACACCGGAGATTTCGAATTACATATTAGTTAGCGTTTAAAAGAGAAAATGGAAAGTATTGCCCACTGTCTGTTGATTTCAGAGTGCTGCTCTCACATCTGTTGCACCATCTGGATTATGAGTTTATTTACCTGTGTTCAAGAAACGTAAAGCTGAGAGAGACCACAACAAAGTAGAAAAACAAAGGGCTTGTTTTTGGCTGGGTTTTCAGGCACACATGTTATATAAAGAAAATAGCATCAGAAGCTCTGCGGGAAATGCTCTGAGCTTACAGTTAGAGTCTCCTGAATAGCATTGAACAGTTCCCACAGTACACACATTATAGCTACTCTAAAAGCCTAATGAGTTTGCTTCAGCATCCAAACTGGAGAAAAGCTTTAGCCATTAATCGGTTCTTAATTCACTGTCGCAGCTGGATGTAATTCAGTGGCTCCAAATTGATATGTTCCTTTATTTAATCTTTGCAGCTTCGAACATTTTTAGCATTTGTATGATTTCCCCCTCCCCAACCCAATCTAGAGTGATGTTTAATCCTTTGCATTCTTCAAGTTCTCACAACTGCTGTTAAAATTCACTAATACAAGACATTGACCACAGCTGGCAGCTTGGCTAAAAATTGCCATCTTTCATCACATTGGCGCTATTCTGTAGACTGAGTTGGCCAGTAACTCTTTACCTTTAATTTAAAAGTAAAATGCACTTTGAAAATAGGCAGTTTGATTTGTTTAGTTGGAGCATTATGTGGTTCCTTTCACTTGTGAGTTGTGTGTTCACAGACAGTGATAGTCAAAACAAGACAGTGTCAGTCATTATAATTCCACACCACATACTCCAAGCTGATTGTACTATTAAAACAAAAGTTTAATTGATCCTGTCTGTTCCAGAAAAATGGTGCTTAATTTTTAGTGCCTTCATTTATTTTGCTTTGCATGCTATATGCTTTTTTGCCAATCTTTAGCTAAAATGGAAAAGGAATAAAAGAAGTTATTAAACCTTACACTTAAAGATAATTTTCATGTGAGTCAATGCATACTGTATTTGATCCCATGATAATTTTTTTTTAACTTTATCCTATAGGTGAAAGACAGCTAATGTAAAATTCATTAAATAATCTGTTTACTTATAAAGAAGCAAATGTCATATTTATGCTCACAGTTCCCTCCAGCAATTTTAGTAGTGATTTTTTTCTACCACTATTTGTTCAGAGATGAAAGTTCATCAGACTTAGTGGTTGTTTTCCTCTACAAAGAAAAGGAGGAAATTATGGGATTAATTATTGTTTGCCCCCACTTGTTAGCAGGATCCTAGTGATTAAGAAGTGTGGCATTTTCTCTTAATGCTAGATAAGGAATATTTACCATTAGAGTCACCTTAACAGCACTCCTTTATATTTTGAACAGAAATATCACTGTATTAAATTTCTTGGACCAGATCTTTATTGAAGTTTATACTTGACAATGAAGTAAAAATTCTAAAGAAAATTAAGTATTTTATCTTTACAACTAAAGATGTATATGCAAGATGGGGGTTAGTACAATATGTTAGCAAATATGAAATGTCAAAAATGCAGTATAGTAGAGAAGACAATTTCTCAATGATTTTACTTTTGCATTATCTGGTTGGGATAATTTTTGACACTGCTTAAAATAAAATTGTCAAAATAAAAATTTAATATCTTGTATATTGCAAAATTAAAAGCATCCATGATTCCAGTTGAGGTATTTGACAATTTATCAACATGTTTAAACATTCAACCAAGCTGGTATGATCAAAAATGTTTCTGGCATAAAATTATTAGGAAAATAAATGTTCCACATGATTTATTGTCTTTCCAGGTGAGTTATCCTTTGACTTAGGACATAGAAAATGATCTAGTGATTTATGAGAAATATGTAATGGTCTTAGTACTTTTACCACTCTCCATATGGAAGCATTGCAGAGCTGCAAGCATAAACATCTTATGTTGGTGGGGCACTTATTATTTCTAGAAAACGAACAGTATTCTTTGATGGCCTCCCAGGACACACTTTTGAAAAAGTACAAGGAAGAGGGCAATACAATAGTCAAGAAACTGGAAGAAATCTCTCAAAAAAGCAGGTAAGTAATATTATACTATAGTTTTAAAAATGTGTGAATTCTGTAATTTCCCCTTATAAATAGCATTTCCACCCATTAATTGTCTAGTGTCAAAATTAGAAATGTGTTGACATATTTCCTGTGAAAATATTTTTCTTAGTTGTCCATAAAGACACGTTTTTGTTTTTTCATGGTTATGTATACATACTATTATTTGGCTTTTTTTTTTTTTTGATGTTTAGAGTTGACAAACTATGAATTTTCAGATGCAAAGGAAGGATGATAATTGTTCTAATAAAGAATGCAGATAAATCAAGCAGACTTTAGATCAAATCACAATAGATGAAGTGTGTATATATAAAATGAAAGTAGAAGATACTTTAAAAAAAGCAAACCACAACTATCCTTTCCTTCTCTTAAAGTTGTTTTTATTTTAATACAATAGTCATCATTTCATAAACACACTGCTCTTTTGTAAATCCATTGATTGGGGTCTTAATGATTTTTTTCTGCATGTTTAATATGGTTTCTTTACTAAATTAATTATTTTATATTCTAAGTTGTAAAAAAAAAAACACCTAGTTTTCATCTTAGTTTTGACAGTAACTGCAATCTTCTGCAAATTTATTTGACCTATTTGAGCTGTGGGATTCTTTGATATCTGACAGAAAATGATATCTGACAAAATCACTTTGAAGTGAGTTATAAAAAGCAATATTCATGTAACTAGCTATATATCAACTCTCATATTACAATATAAGCTAATGGAACAATAACCTGTATATTGTATCTTTTGTATTTTTCTGAGGTTCACATAGATCTACACAAAGTAAGCAGTATGGCTCAGCGGGCAAACTCATTCAGAGAGCATTTGCAGGAGGGTTATAGATCTCTCATTGGTCTGATCTTCTTGGTTCCTGCATCTATAAGCTGGCTTAGAAGATGGGATCTTTGGGGGTAATCAGAGGGTTTATGAATCCATTTTTTTTCTGCTCACAGCAAGACACAGTCTCTTAGAATCACTCAGAATGTGCTCCAACATGTACCTTCTTAGCAGATACCAATTAAATATCTTATTTAGATAGCAGAAAAGCTCAGGGTGACAAACATCAGATGCTTTCAGGAAATTTTACAAGAAACCTAAATGATTTTGTTATGAAAGACACCCTCATAAAATAGTAACAGTAACTATCCTTTACCTGAAATATTTTATTTGCTTCACATAGATTCTAAAATAAGTATTTAGTTAGAAACAAGCAAGCTATATTATATCACTTCAGATAAATTTATATTGATCTGGAGTGTATGATATTGTAGTGTCTTAAGATTGCTTTATGATTTATTATTCATTATCTAGCTCCTAAGGACATATAATTCAGATAAATTAAATGCATAAAAGAGAAAGGGCTGCTATGTGCTTGGTAAATATTATTTAGCTTTCACAACAACTTGACACAGGAATTATTAGTTTAGTTTATAGATGAGGAAACCAATACTCAAAGTGTTTAGCTGGTACAGAGGAAAGCTAAAGTTTTAGCTTAATCTATGATCTATCTACAAGAAGTGTCATACTTTACATCTACCACAGAAAATATCCAGGCCAAAGTAGTTATGAGGTAATGTATGGGCCAGAAAGATAAGCCTTTAAATTCACATGGAGAACTAGGCATAGTTGGCATTTGAGGCTTAATTGATAACCCTGGGTTAACCTGTGCCCTGTGGCTCTGGCCACATTTTTCCTGCTCCAGATCTACCCTATACTGGTCCAGTGAATTTGAAACTCAGCTCTTCTTCTGTTCCTCTAACTCCTGACAACTACTTTGCAAATTGAATATGTTCCTTTATGTCTAGCATAATAAATATTTATTGAATGAATGAATGAAACCAATAAGTGAAGTGTCGCCCCAAAACACCACCCGTTTGAATCCGGTTACAGACTGTTCTTTGTTAAGGTCAGGCAGTGTGCAATAAAATATACTTCGAAATTTAGAAAGAACTAGGTTTGAATTTCACTTTGCCATTTACCTTGGTAATCGTAGGTCCACTTCTTAATCTCAAACCTCAGTTTCTCTGTCTCTGAAAACATTTCCGAATGTTACAGGATTATCGTGAGAGTAACACACAACACACACACACACACAAACAAACATACATGTAAAATACCTCGCACAAGGCTTGACACAGAAGTATACAGCTGCTATTGTCGTTAATGGCATTTTTTTAAGGGTCTGTACTAGCAGTTTGGTTTATCACTTCCCGCAGCTATTATTGCTTTAGCTATTTCGGGTCTGAGTGACAAATTTCTGACAGATATAAAATGTATAGTACAATTAAAACCTTTTTAAAGGCAGAGAAGGATCAGTAAAATGTGTATCTGGTTGCCTTGTTTTGTCTTGTTCTGGTGCTTTGTTTTATAAATCTGAAGAATTGAAATTGACATCTACTATAACTTTATAATTTGATCCAAACCTCAGGAGTGACAAATAGTAAATACTCAATTAATTATTACTTATTATTGTTAAAATTTTGAGAGCCCCTCCAATTTACAAAATACACATTTTGTGCATCTCATAAGAAAGTAGTAGATAGGATAAATTGTGGCTTTTTCAGTGTTTTGTTTATTTCTTTGTTCTTCCTTTCCTGTCATTTCCCTCTGCTCTCTACGTGAAGAAAATGACATTTTCAATGACTCATTTATCCAAAATTTAACTTTCCATTTTAATATTACCTTTTGCTTTGAAAACACCTGTAAAATTTCAGGGGCTCAGAGTATTTCTTAAGTAAAAATTATAAGCTTATTAACTCCTATGGAAGCTCTCCAGAAGTGTACCTCTACACATTCATTACTAAACTTTTGAGAGTGGTTATTTCCCCTGTGCTTTGAAATGAGAAATACTGTGGAGTTTCTTAAGATTTCTGAAGTGTTGCCATTGTGGAAACTCAGATTTCATTTAAACAATATAATAATAGTGATCCAGGTTTTCCTCCAATTACTACAGTATTTTTTTTCCTCAAAAGTGCATATGTTTATTTTATATTGATCAACAATTTAAAACACATTTTCTGCTCCCCTTTTCTTACTAGTGACATTTCTTTGAGTTTCGTGTTATTCAAAATAGCATAAACAAATGGATTCGTACCATTTTAAAGAAGCTTTTTTACTCACAGATCTAGTCATTTGACTAGAGTCCATGCAGAATCCCTAGGAAAACTGCAATCTGGGCTCACCATTCCCATACACTCTTACACAAGCTTCATGCTAGACTTCTCTGAAAGTGTTTAGAAATGGTTGCTCTGTGTGTGTGTCTGTGGTATGTGTTTTCTCCCCAACTAAAAGAAAGTCGCAGTATGGCAGTGCCTTATTGCTTCTGTTCTCTGGAAGCCCTCCACAGTGATTTGCACAGTGTTTCCTGCAAATTGTGCGTCCACACACCAAGTGGCATTGTAACTCCAGGTTCTGTGAATGGCACATCCCATTTTAAAATTAAAAATAAACTGCTGATTCTGTGCATTTTACGTAGCTTATATTTGACCATCAGACAAGAGATTTAATTCCATTTTGCTTTTAATTGGCACCAGGAAGACATTCTGGCTGATTTTGGTTGAAGCTCACATAAACTTTAGCTACACTTTCATCTTTATTCCCTAGAACTCTGAGAGCTTATTATAGTTACAGGATTGTTTTTGAGATAGGTAAATGGAGATGTTTAAATAGCTTTGGTGCAAGTGTGATTTTTCTTTATCAAAGCGAAGGAAGTAGTCCCTCTCCCCAGGTGCTTAGATGAATCAGCAATAAAATGTTTGCAATGTAATCTAAAATGTGCCCTGGGAAGTACTCAGAAATGTTGAGCACTGCCTAGGAGTGCACTTCTGCCAGCTGCAGAATGGAGAGCAGGCATGTTTTGTGTTTTAGCCTGTCAACACTTGTGCTTTGAAATGAACAGGATACAGAGCACAGAACCAGGATCGAAGTGGTTTTGTGTCTCTTCTTTCTTTTTCATCGTTGTCACTTTCTGAGTACTAGGCTTGTGGATTGATGTCTAACACTGCCCACTGTGTATTTGTGATTTGAGTTTTGTAATTAAGAAGAACAATGGGAGTCCATTGGGTCTCCTTATATATAATGGTTGGTTTAATTTGTTTCACTTCTATCTTGTTAATTGTAAATTGATCATTAAGATTTGAATTCTAATCTGTCACCAGGGTTGTGGGTATTGAGGCTAGAGCAATGATCCTGGTTTTAATCACTGATGATGAGAAACAAATTTTATAATTTTGGTACATATTGCAGTTCATATATTTTAACACTGTATTTTATGGTGTTATAAATATTGTTAAATGACTTTTAGTGTAGTTTTACTGTGTGAACTATAATGTATAAATTATATTACTGTTTTGGCAACAGTAGGTATCCAACTGTGTGAATTTAATTGAAGTAAAGAACACACGCCCGCTTGGACTGTTTTTTTTTTTTTTTTCCCTTGCATGTTTAGATGATATTAGGTTAGAATACTGCAAAAATTATCTTCAACAAGAAGAAGCTGATATTGGCTTCTACTAATAGTTACCAAAAGTCAAATAAGAAACCAAAAGAATTTTAAAAAGTGGTCTTTTTTTTTCCCTTAAAAAGCAATTATCACTATAAACCTAATTATAGTAATAAAATATTAGACTTCATGCAAGTGTAATTATACAATATAACTGGAATATAAAAATGCAGGGGAAAGTTCATGCTTCTGTAAAGTCAGAAATTATCAAAATTTTCTAGGAAAGTGTATTAGAGTCAGTTATCCTTTTATGAAATTCTGGGAAAATCATGCCATAAATGTAATCTCAAACTAATGTAGAAACTTAAAGTTTTCCCTTTGAACTTTGCAAACTGCTAGTTCTTTCAGCATGTTGTGGTTTCTACACTGCTGTCCTTGTACATTTACCAAATTTTTATTGAACATTGTGAGTTATAGGCAAATTACCATTATAAACAAATAAAAAGAAACCAAAGCTATGCAATACAGAAAAAAATAATATAGCATGTATAGCATATATCTAATAGTAATATGTACTTTACAAAGTGCATTTATATTTTTTGTGATTAAGTTAAGGCATCCTCAGTATAGGACATTTGTATATAACTACTAAGAAGAAATAGGGGAAACATATGCTGTCACATTATCATCCAGCTTACTATGGTTAACTTTTGACATATTTCCTTTCAGTCATTACCATTTGTATATAAATGTGTATGTACACATACATTTGTATTGTGAGTAAAATTATACCATAGTTAGTTTTGCATCCTATTTTTAACTTAATATTATCTAATGAACATTTTTATACATCATTAAATATTCCGGAAACATAACTTTAATTGAATCACTTGCATGCACAATAATTCTTTGGACATTTAAAATGTTCCCAGTTTTAACAGTTATGAATAATATGATAATAAGTTTGTACATAAATCTGAATTTTTGATGATTCCTAGTCAAGATGCTTAAAAGAGTTTTGCTGATCCAAAGACTGTGCACACCTTTAAGGCTATCAGTATGTATTACTTTGTTCAAATGCTAAATTCTGCTGAGTATATATGTATACATATCAGTGTGTGACCAAAAAAAGTGAAAGATTATAAACAATAAAGGAGTGAGAGATGATATAGCACAATGGATAGAACAACCCCTTTAGCATTGGGTGGACCAGTGTTTGTATCTGGGATTGGCTAATCACATTTGGGTGGCCTGAAGCACATCATTAAAGCTTGTATATACCTCACAGGTATAAGTAGAATACACACTTAGTTTGTAGGACTGAGATGACAGGAATGCATCCAAGATATTGTGGGTTCAATTCCAGACTGCTACAATAAGCCAAAACTTACAGGGGTCCTCCCTGATGGCCTAGGGGGTTAACACACAACCTATGAAGCTATCTGCAGCCACTGCAGCATGAATTCGATCCCCGGCTGGCCAGAGAGCAACCCACATGGCGCAGTGGAACTCTTCTGTCTTGCCCGCTCCTCCCCTCAGCAGTGTACTTCAGTCAATCTGCCTGTTCTGTCCCCATCTTTGTCTCTGGTGAATCCTCTCACCCCCCATACCTCTGGCCTGTACCCAGCTCCTGTATGCATAAATAAATCTTTGGGAAAAAATAAAAATAAATAAAAAAAGACAAAACTTACAATAAAACATGTCACATGAGCTTTTTGGTTTCATATTGCATATACAAATTATGGTTAACCTGCAGTAGCCTATTAAGTATGCAATATCATTGTATATTGTAAAAATGTACACACCTTAATTTCAAAATACTTTACTGCTAAAACACGCTAATCATCATCTGAGCCTTCAGTGAGTAGTAATATTTTTTTGCTACCAACCTTCAGTTTGAAAAAAACAGTATCTGTGATGCACAATAGTGACACACTATAAAATTAGGTATACCTGTATTAAGGTAAAAGATGGAGGCTACTAATAGGCGTACAATCAATGTTTGTGCATAATCTGATTTTATTATGCATTTTTTTGAATAATAGAAATTGAAGTTTTGGTAAATGTTTATTGTACATATAAGTTACTTCCTACTGAATTGTTTCATACTTCTTATATTTTTTAATTGGAATTTTGATAAGAGAGTAGGGATAGCACTTTATTAAATGAAGCTTCTAAACTTCACTTTTTAAATGTGTTCTTAGTTTTTTTATTATGAAAATTTTATTCCTAGTACTTTTTGTTTTTTATGAATTTTTCAAAATCAAAGTAATTTTATTTTTTACATGTGATCGTGGTAAAATGAATATGGAAAAGGTAAATGTTTTCTAATTCTTAATCTGATACCTAGAGATAATATTAATATGTGCCATGTATGTCAGAATATTTTAAGTTATAAAATGGAATCACTTTATATATGTACTGATTTTTAATATTTTCTTTATTAATATGTAATATTTTAGGTCAATAATAACATTGATAGCCACATAACATACGTAATAGGCAAGCATCTTGATATTCCTATGTATACTTGATGCATTCAGTCTTCTGTTGACAAATTTCTGGGTTGTTTGCAGATATTGGGTTGCAAAGCAAGGTTGCTTAAAGAAACAATACAACAATGAACATTCTCATGAAAACGTGATTTTTCTTGTACATTTTTATGTTGTAACATTTATAGTTCCTTTGTGATTTTTCTTTTAAAAAGTGATCTTGAGGGGAGGATGTATCTGAGAACAGTAAATATTGTTCTACTTTTCAAAAAACTGGTTTAGGATAACTTTCATCCTTTTAGAATTAATTTTAGTGCATAGTGTGTATTGTGATAGGAGATAGTAATCTTGGAATAATGCCAAATTAATAGTTTTTAAACTACCCCTAAATTCTTTTGAAAGGAAAAACCTAAGTTAATAATTAACTGATTTATAATTTCAAATTTAAAGCCTTAGTGAGACAAATGCTTGATCTGAGCTTGGAAAAAAAAAATTCATGCCCTCATGTATAATCTAGTAAGAAGAATGAGGCATAGAGCACAATTCAGAGGAACGAATTATAAGATAATGTATGCGTGCAGCTAGAGATATTTTTTAAAAATGTGCTTGTATATTGTGAACTGCAAGGTATTAGAGCAAATTTCCTTTGAGATGACATTTGAACCACAATAAAAACAAAATGATAAATGAGGTAAACTAAAAGTGAAAGAGTGCTTCATATATGTGAGATGGGTTGGTAGTGGGATGTATTCCCTTAGCAAATCCAAATTTTTTCTTGACTGAAAATAAAGGACTAGCTCACTTAATGGAGGAATCCTTTACTTGGAGGGAAATAATTTTACATAAAGAGCCTTACTTAAATTTCAAGAGACAAATCAATCATCAACTGCTAGAATTTCAATATGCCAGAGGTATAAACTTTCAGTTGTAACCTGTGATGCATCCAGAGATGGTGATAGTGGCAGCACTGTTTAATTAAAACAAGGCAGGGATACAATTTTTCTTGAATAGACAACTTTATTTTTTTTAAGATATATTTATTTATGCATACAAGAACTGGGGTACAAGTCAGAGGTGTGGGGAGTGAGAAGATTCACCAGAGACAGAGTGGGGAGCAGAACGGGCAGATTGACTGAAATATACTGCTGAAGGGAGCAGTGAGTGAGAAAAAAGAGGTCTGCTGCACCATGTGGGTAGCTCCCTGGCTGGGGATTGAACTCGTGCTGCAGAGGCTGTGGATAGCTTCATAGGTCTTAACCCCTTGCGCCACTAGGGAGGCCCCTTGAATAGACAACTTTCTAATCTTGAAATTTTGAGACTCAACTTAGTCACCCAAGGCACTGAAGAGGTAGCATATTTCCTGAGAGACCTTAACAGTCACCAAAATGGATAAATATGATCCTAACTGGTTTATGAATGAAATAAGACAGAAAAGGAGATTGAGGGGATCATATCTGACTTAGCAAACAGAGGAAGGTGAATCATTTATTTAATTCATTTTATTAAGGTATTATTGGTTTATGAAACTGTGTATGATTCAGAAATATAGGATCCCACCTCTTCAGATGTATGTTACCACAACACACCTATCACCAAGGCAGTCATAATCCTTCATTATAACCCATTGCACTTCCTCACATCTTTATTCTCCCAACTCCTTACTTCTTGGTGGCCTCAGTTGTACAGTCAGATTTCTAGGGTTTGATTTTGTGTTGGTTTTGTCTGACACTGTTTTGTTTCTCTGTGTTCCACATATGAGCAAAGTCATTCAGTATTTGTCTCTCTCAGGAAGGCGAATCTTAAGTGTCTACAGTGGTGGATACTTATGCATGAAGCAAGTTGATCTATTCTAAGATTCCAGAAGAAAAAAATGGAAGACAGGGAGAACACAGGACTGAAAACAAAATGGACAGTTCCCTCCCCACCTCATGCAGACCACCACCCAGAAATCTAGGGGTTTTCTCGTGAAGAAATTAAATCATCAGGCACTGGTTAATCTAATAACTAGATTATATTGGAGACTAACAGAAAGTCTGCATTTTGAGAGGTGAGATTTATTTCCAACCAGCTCATTCAGGTTAGGTTTGCACACAAATAAACAGGAAACTGGGGATCCTTCTCTTCTGATTGCCTCAGAAGAACCAAAGGATCCATCTCTTTTGAAATAGAATAGTTACAGAAGCAAGAATTACAGATACTAATGCTGGAACTCTCACATAGGAAAAGATGATTTGCTATTCAGTCACTAAAGCCCACTTATTTGGGTAAAATAAATGTACACAGTGAAAACGTAATCATAATATACTACTTAGACAGCAAGAGACAACATTTAGATAGTCTTCATAATGTAATTACAGATAGTGATTTAGCAACAAGTTGAAATACTAGTAACAATTACTTTGACAAGCTGGAGATGGGGGAGGGTAACGTAAGATAATTTAATTTTCATCTACCATAATGAATCAGTAGACATTTTTTTATTGATGAAGCAAGAAATATTGATGTGTAAGTATATTTAGAAATACAGAGGTAAATACCAGGAGAAATAACTTTAAAAAATTAAAAGTTATTTGTCACTGCTTAGCAGGATTGGGAATCAGGGAGCAGAGGACTGCCATTTTTCATTATTATGCCTTTTAGAACTCTATTATTTTAATCAGGTGCCTGTAAATTAGCTATGCTAATTAAAATATATAACTCTCTGTTATAAATATTAGACCTGGGATTTCTCCTTTAACACCATGATAGGCCTACAGTAAATATTTGGTTAATGGATAATAGTCTTTTTATAAAAGGAATTTGATCATTGTCATTTTTGTCTCATTCCTTGGAGAAGCCATTTCTATTATGGTAAGTTATTACTTTGTCTACCACTTGAGACCCTATAGCATATATCACTATACTATATGTTTTGTGATTTCTAAAATATTTCACTTAAATCAATTTTTATTTACACCATCATGTCTCAGTAAAAAGTTTAAAATGTTGAAGTTATATAACATCGTTTTTGTGTTTTCACCTCTCTAGGTCTAAGATAGCTCAGCTTAGTCAAGAAAAAAAGTATCTATCTGACAAACTAGAAAAGTTACAGAGAAGAAATAATGAATTGGAAGAACAGTGTGTCCAACATGGGAGACTACATGTGCTAATGAAGCAAAGGTAATAGAGGTTTGATAATCAACTAATGTATCATATGTTGAATGTGTTTGGTACAAAACATTGGAAATTGCTGTGAAATGAATCGAATTTATGACTACTATGGTACTCAAAGGACATGCTCAAATTCTAATACTTTTATATTTTTATGCTTTCTTAATTTAGATTTTTCTGTACACAAAGAAGAAAGTACATGCCCTCTGCTAGTCTCTAAAGACAGAGAATTAGATTTAAAGTACAAGTAGTATTGTAACATGGAAAAATTTATTTTTTTAAAGATTTATTTTTTATTTATACAATAGCTGGGGGTACAGGCCAGAGGCACGGGAGGGTGAGAGGATTCACCAGAGACAAAGTGGGGAGCAGAACAGGCAGACAGAACGAAAGTACTGCTGAGAAGAGCAGCTGGCACGACAGGAGAGGGCTGCCATGCCGTGAGGGAATCTCCCTGGCCGGCTGGGAATCGAACCCGTGCTCCAGAGGCTGTGGACAGCTTCACAGCTCTGTGCTCAACCTGCTGTGCCACCTGGGAGGCCCCTAACATGGAAAAATTTAAAAACTTCTTTTATAAATTAGATTTTGTAAGAGAAAGCATTTAATAAGTTCAAGGAGGCCAAATATCTTAGCCACAGTTTATAATAACAGTATTTTGAGAGTCAGGATTTGACTCCAAACCCTTTGCTTTTCACTTAGTGTTACTTCGAGCATTGTTTCCTTTTTCACCTTTATATTGGATTAGGCTAATAATATCCACTTTGTGATTTGAACTTGGGTGTAAGCCAGAGAGTTAGGGGGTGAGAGGATTCACCAGAGACAGAGTGGAGAACAGAACAGGTGGATTTACTGAAATACACTGCTGAGGAAAGCAGTGGGCAAGACATGTGCCATATTTGGGTTATCTCCCTGGCCAGGCATTGAACTAAGGCTGTAGTGGTGATAGCTCTGAGACTTAACCCCTAAGCCACCTGGGAAGCCCAATTACTTAGTTTTTTTATTTATTGTTTTTTTATTTTTAATATATTTTTTTACATCATTGTTCATTTTTAAATAATATTTGCTTCCCTCCACCTCCTTACGTGTAGTCCCCATAGAATTTCCTTCCCCAAGGCACCCGGGCACATCACCTCAGTACCCTGTGCTCCTCCTTCCCGCCCTCTGATCCCTCTCCCTCCTCCTCCCCTGCAGGATATCTCTGATTTATAATTGTCTGTTTTTGTTTTATTGTGTTTTGTATTATTATTTTTTAACACTGATGTCTTATTTGGTTTCCCTATATTCCTCCTATAAGTGAAACCATCCAATATTTTTCTTTTTCCTTTTGACTTATTTCACTGAGCATAATTCCTTCTAGCTCCATCCATGTTGCTGCGAATGGTATGAGTTTATCATTTTAGATTGCTGTTGTGTATATATGCCACACCTTCTTGATCCAGTCATCTATTTTTGGGCATTTGGGTTGTTTCCAGGTTTTACCTATTATAAATAGCGCTGCAGTAATCATGGGGGTACAGGTATTCTTTTGAGTCAATGGTTTTGTGTCCTTTGAGTAGATACCTAGAGGTGGAATAGTTGGGTCATATGTAACTCCATTTTTAGTAGACTGAGAAACCTCCAGACAGCTTTCCATAGTAGTTGGACCAGTTTGCACTCCCACCAGCAATGTAAGAGAGTTCGTTTTTCACCACATCCTCGCTAACATTTGTTGTTGCTAGTTTTTGTTTTTTTTTTTTTTTTTTTATGTGCCATTCTTACTGGTGTAAGGTAGTGTCTCAGTGTGGTTTTGATTTGCATTTCCCTGATTATAAAGGATGCTGAACAGTTTTTTCATATTCCTGTTGGCATTTGCATTTCTTCTTTGGAGAAGTGTCTTTTAAGTTATTCTGCCCATTTCTTGACTGGATTGTTTACTTTGCTTTTGTTGAGTCATGTGAGTTCTTTGTATATTTTTGTGATCAGTCCCTTATCAGTTGTATGAAAAGCAAGTATTTTTTTCCCAATCAGTGGGGCGTCTCTTTGTTTTGGTTAATGTTTCTTGCTGTACAGAAGATTTTCATTTTGATGTAATCCCAGGTGTTTATCTTTTCCTTGATTTTCTTTTCTTTGGGGAAAAGTCTTTAAAGACGTTTCTGAGATGTGTGTCTTGTAGTATTTTACCTATATTTCCTTCTGTATATTTTATGGTCAGGTCTTATGTCCAGAACTTTTATCCATTTTAAGTTGATATTTGTGTATGGTGAGAGGTAGTGATCTGGTTTCATTCTTTTGCATGTGGTGGTCCAGTTTTCCCAGCAACATTTATTGAACAAACTGTCCTTGTTCCATTGCATATTCTTTGCTCCTTTGTCAAAGATTAGTTGTCCATATATGTTTGGCTTTATTTCTGGCCTTTCTATCCCATTCCATGGTCTGTGTGTCTGTTTTTGTTCCAATACCATACTGTTTTAATTATTATTATGGCTTTTGTAGTATATTTGAAGTTTGAAAGTGTGATACCTCCTTTCTCCTTTGTTTTCATGAGTAGGGCTTTGGCTATTTGCAGTTTTTTTGTGGTTCCATGTGAAGGTCATCAGTATTTGTTCTATTTCTTTGAAAAAAATATCATTGAAATTTTTATTGGAATAGGGTTGAATCTGTAAATTACTTTTGATAGGATGGCCATTTTAACAATGTTAATTCTTCCAATCCATGAGCAGGCAGGGGATGTCTTTCCATTTCTTTGTGTCTTTTTCTATTTCTTTTAACAGTGTTTTATAATTTTCTTTGTATAGGTCCTTTACCTCTTTTGTTAGGTTTATTCCCAAGTATTTGATTTTTTTGTTTCAATTATAAAAGGGATGGTTTTCTTGATTTCCTCTTCTTCATATTGATTGTGTATAGGAAGGCTACTGATATTTGTGTGTTGATTTTGTATCCTGCTACTTTATACTAAACTAGTTGATTATTTTGATTAGTTTTTCTGTGGTGTTTTAGTGTTCTCTCAATATATTATCATATCATCTGTAAATAGTGATAGTCTTACTTCTTCTTTCCCTATTTGAATTCCTTATGTCTTATTTTTGTCTTATTGCTTGGGCTAGGACCTCCAGTATTATAATGAATAGCAGTGGTGAAAGAGGACCTTGTTCCTTATCTTAAAGGAAAGACCTCAGCTTTTCATCACAGAATAATATTGGCTGTGGGTTTGTCGTATATCATGCTATCATGTTAAGGTATGTTCTGTCTATCCCAAGAATTTCAAGGGCCTTCATCATAAATGGATGTTGGATTCTGTTCAATGCTTTCTCAGTATCTATTGATATGATCATATTTTTTTTTCCTTTTTGTTGATGTGTTGGATTACACTGATCAATTTTCGTAAGTTGAACCATCCTTGTGCCCATGGGTGGTATATTATCCCTTTGATGCATTATTGGATTCTGTTGGCAAGGATTTGTTGAGGATTTTTGCATAAGTGTTCGTTAGGGAGATTGGCCTGTAGTTTTCTTTTTTTGTGTTGTCTTTGTTTGGTTTCGGTATTAGTGTAATGTTGGCTTCGTAGAACGTATTTGGTAGTATTCCTTCTTTTTCAATTTTTTGAAGGAGTTTGTATTGGATAGGCACTAATTCATTGCTGAACATTTCGTAGAATTCATTTGTGAAGCCATCTAGGTCTGGGCTTTTGTTTTTCAGAAGTGTTTTGCGTACCGCCTCAATTTTGCTGCTTGTAATTGGAGTGTTTAGGTGTTCTATTTCTTCTTTATCTAGCTTTGCATGATAATATCATTCTAGGGATTTGTCCATCTCTCTAGAATGTTGAATTTGTTTTCATATAAGTGTTCATAGTAATCTCTGATTATTCTTTTGATTTCAATATAGTCTGTTGTGATTTCTCCTCTTTCACTTATAATCCTATTTATATGTGTTTTCTGTTTTTTCTTTGTGAGCCTGGCTAGAGGTTTGTCTATTTTGTTTATTTTTTTGAAGAACCAACTTTTGGTTTCCCTGATCTTTTGGATTGTTCTTTTAATTTCTATTTTGTTAATTTCTGCTTTGATTTTTTATATCCTTTCATCTATTGGTTTTATGGGGTTTTTTTGATGTTCTTTTTCTAATTCTTTGACATGTGAGATTAGGTTGTTTCTTTGAGTTCTTTCTTATTTCTCAGTGTGAGCCAGTATTGTTGTATATTTTCCTCTTATTACTGCTTTTGCGGCATCCCACACATTCTGGAAATTAGTGTCATCATTGTCATTCAACACAAAGTATTTTATTTATTTTTTTAAAGATTTATTTATACAAGAACTGGGGTACAGGCCAGATGTGTGGGAGGGTGAGAGGATTCACCAGAGACAGAGAGGGCAACGGAACAGTCAGAATGACCGAAATACACTGCTGAGGGGAGCGGCAAATTAGACAGGAGAGGTCTGCCTCACCGTGTGGCTTGCTCTGTGGCTGGCGGAGATCGAACCAGCACTGCAGAGGCTGCGGAAATCTTCTGTGCTTAACCTCCTGCACCACCAGGGAGGCCCAACACACAGTATTTTAAATTTCTTCTTTGATCTCCTCATTTGTCCAGTGGTCTACCAATAGTTTGGATTTCAATCTCTATGAAGTAGGAGGGTTCCTTGTTTTCTTTTCATGGTTTATTTCTAGTTTGATGCCTTTATGATCTGAGAAGGTAGTTGGGATGATTTTGATCTTCACGTATCTGTTGATGTTTGTCCTGTGGTCCAGTATGTAGATTCTAGAGAATGACCCGTGCATGCTTGAGAAAAATGTATACTCGGATTTTGGGGGATGCAGTGTCCTGTAGATGCCTATTAGGCCTATGAGTTCTATGTCTTTATTTAGGTCTCTAGTGTCTTTATTTTTTGTCTCATTGATCTGTCCATTGGTGAGAGTGGAGTGTTGAAGTCTCCTATCATATATGCATTTTCTTTAATGTCTGTTCTCAGAGATGAAATTTTCTAATGTATTTTGGTTTGCCTTCATTTAATGAATATATGTCGTTGAGTGTTATATCT